GATTTTATTGATATTTGGATGAGTTTTATAGGATTTTGTTTGATTTTACATGGTTTTCATTTTTTGTGTAGGAAATGATTTAATTGGAAGAAATCTTACTTTTTAGAAGTAAATTGAAGAGATCAGAGACTTGAGGATCAACTTGTGCAGAATCCAAAAGTCAAGAACCAAATCTGCTATTTTACCATTGAAGAAATTGCAAAAGGAGACCAGAAACCCGACACGAGTGTAGTATCGACACATTATTGGGGTGTCGACACCATGCGCTAAACGTCCAGAATCAGATTCTGTTTCCTATTTTGTGTCAACACGTAATCCGAAGTGTCAGCACCAATCAGCATCTAAAATTCAGTTTCCTATTTCTATTCCAAGTCCTACTTCTATTTCAATTAGGGTTTCTAAAATCCTATAAATACTCATCCAAATTCAGAATGAGGAGAGCTTTTGTGGAGGCTGGTGGCAGCCCTCTTTTGGGCACTCTTGGAGGTCAAGATAGAAGATCCATCAATGAGAAGATCAATGATTTCAATTATCTCAAATTAGGTTTTATTTTTCCTTAGACATTCTTATGCTCATAATTGTGACTTTAGATTTTATTATTTTTATTATGAACTGATTTATTTTATTAAGGTTATGATGTAGCCTAATCAATTCAATATAGATTTTGTGATTTTATGCTTTCAATTAAAGTTATTCGCATGAGGAGTTTATATTATTGAACTTAATGCATTGAAAGCCTGATCATCTTTTAATTGATTTAGTGATTTATGCATGAACTTGAGAAAGAATTGTGTAGATTAGACCAATAATAATATAAATCGTGTGCTAAACTATGAGACCGAGAGGTAATTAGCTCACATATGGTAGTGGAGGAAGAGAAGAGAGTTAGGATCTCCCCCTTCTTAAGTTAGAGGTTTCCATAGAATTTAATGCTCATAAGTTTGTTTAAAATTACATAGAGATATAATTAATTTAACAAACAAGTGAATGATTAACTTGACTTGAGAAAGCTAGTTAATTAATTTAGGGAAATCCGCCATCACATGCAATAACACTCAATAAATTGGTTTTGAAAGTATATTAATCCAGAATTTATATTGATTGATTATGGTGAAGTCAATGCCTTAATACTTCATATCTTGGTTTGGTTTAATTTAATTGTTATTTTCTTTTTATTATTTTTTTAGTTAAACTTTCTTCCCATTTGTTTGTTCAAATAAATTTAGATTAATTATTTTGGTACTTAGTTAGACACAATCCTCGTGGGTTCAACACTCTCTCATCATTACATTACTTGGAGCGACTAGTACACTTGTTAGGGTGATTTTAGAGTATCAAGTTTTTGGTGCCGTTGCCGGGGATTGTTGATTTAATTAATATCGAAGTTGGTTAATTATAGATTTAATTTGAACGTTTTCTTTTCTTTTATTTCTTTACTTTGATTTTTTTTTTTGTTTCTTTTGTTTTTGTTTTTGTAGGTTTAACTATGGATCGAGTTGTCTTAAACACTGATGTGGATTACCAATGGCTTACGCCAGAGATGAGGGCACAAGTGTGTTGATTTTTCTGGTGATTTTCATAGCCAACAGTATAATTCTTATCCCAATACATGCAATGTTGATCCAAACACCTCATGGAATGATGAAGATATATTGGATCCACAATCAGGGTTTCAAGCTCCAAAAGAGGAGACATGTTTGAATAAAAATCTAGAGGTCCAATCAAGTCATTTGCTCAACTTAGTTGCTGAAGAGATACAAGGTGAGTTACCTAGTGCAACAATTAAAAATCAAGAAGAAGAGGTAAACACTTTACTCTTGGAGATTGAAGGACAACTTGAAGAAGTGGAAAACATGCCTGCAAAAGCTAAACAAGGGGATGTCCCTAAGGAGGAAGAGGAAAAAGCTCAAGTGTCATTTGAAGTGTTTAATGGGGAGTCTCCTTTAACCAAATCTGATTTTAATGATTATTTTGTTATTGATATGGTTGATGAGATTTTGCAAAAAAACACTTATGAGGATCCATTTGAGATTTACCTTATTCAAGCAAAAGACTCAATCAAAGAATACATAAATTGCTTGAACACATCATCTTTCTTGGAATCAAAGGGGGAACTTCTAGAAGAATTGGGAGGCACATCTTTTGGCCTAAACCCAAACCACCTCATAATAGTCATTGGAGAAAATCTTATGGTAAATTCAACTTAAGGGCAAGAAAGCCAAGATTTAAGAAATCGAGAGGACATGCCCTACGACCTGATCCAAAACCACCTTGGAGTGGTAGAAAGTCTAGCTAATGACTTTAAATTAAGCGCTTCTTGGGAGGCAACCCAAGCATAATATTTTCTTTTATTTTATTTTTCTTTTATAGTTCAGATTTTCTTTTAATTTTTTTCTTTTTCTCTTTATGGTCTAGGTTAATGTATAAATTGTTGTTCTTTGATTTTGGCCAGGTCATTGAACAAGTTTGGGGGACAAGATTATGGAAATTCACATGCTAGAAGTCTCCTCTAAATGAAGACAACTCAACTTCAAAACTTCAATTTTAAGT